TTTTAACAAAACCATTATACCCTGATTTCCCATTTTCAATGGGTTCAGGGTATAAAAATGTATTTTCCATGTAATGAAATATCAATAGACTTTATACCTTTTAGGGAACATAATTACAGAAAATAATATTTAATGCAAGGAATTAAGATATTGGGTGTTACTATAGGTAAGTTGTAGGTGTATATATTTTATACTTCATTAAAACTAATATTAAAATTTATTATTTTTTTTCCTTTTTTATATTTTCGCATAGAAAATAATATTTAAATTATTGCTTCTATTTCACTTATGCATATCTAGCTAATTATAATTTAACTCCGTGAGAACTTTAGCCAATTAGGCTGGCCAACTAGGCGTTATCCTCAACTCTTTCATAGTGATTTCACTGTACATGTTTGAAGGTATGTGCCCTGAAATGCACATTATATGCTTGGGTTTGTGGACAATGCTACGTCATCGTCAGCCCACCATTACTCGCCATTCATAGTGATGGCCCATGCTGGCTCCTGAGTTCATGGGCGCCATTTTCATTGAAGGCTTATGCACGCACACACACACACACACACAAACATACACAAGCACATACACGCATGCATGGACAAAAGCACTTGCATGCAGATGCACACAAACACACACACACACACATATATACCAGCACACACACACACTTGCAAGTGAGCTGAATCAAAATGGAAGCGAATGCTAAGTGGCTAACCGAAGCAAAAGCTGCACACAGAGCACGTAAGTGAGAGCGAGAGAGGGAGAGAAGCACGGACAAAAGCGAAAACAATACTGTAGGGCAAACAAAGAGCTCTCTCCCGCTCGCTCCTACTTCCTCTACACAATGTGCGCTTGTGTTGGTGTCTGAATGGAAGTAGCAACAGCTCGCAGCCTGTGACCGAAGCTGCGCTGCCAGCGTCTTGAGCAGCAAAACTATACGAACACATGCGCTGAGTGCAGCGAAGCTACTTATACGAATATGTGTGTGTGTGTGTATGCTAGTGCGTGTGCATATGTGTGTGGTCGCTTATGTATGTTTGGTAGATCTCTCTGCGTGTAGTCTAACATAGAAATGAGAATTTTATTTTTAGCGTTGCGTGAACACATTACACACATATTACGTACATACATACATATATATGCATACATAGGTAATTATGTATGTGAAAAAGAATACGTTATGTGCAGCTAAACAAATTCATAATTGAATACATGCCAGGATGTACGTCTGTATGTATGCATGTATGCATGCAGTTGGGGCTACATTTATTTGTAGATATGCATTTGAGTTCATGTGCTTGTATGTATTTGGCTCTGAGTCGAATTAGGCCGCTGACCTGACGCTGACGCCCTGACGTCATGAATGAACTCATGCGTTGTTGCTGTTGCTGTAGCTGTAGCTGTAGCTGTAGCTGTTGTTGTTGCTGTTGTTGTTGCTGTTGTCGTTTAGCTATGTATATAAATAAACGACTACTCGAAGCGTTTACGGCGCATGTTGCAAGTGGATTATAAATTTTTTGGCCAAACGTGAGGCTGGCACGAAATCAACTGCAGCCTCTCAATCCACGAGAGAGTGAGCGAGCGGGTGAGTGTCTGTGTATGTGTGTGTGTGTAGGTTCATGAAACATAATATTATACATATTTGAAGCAAGCAGCAGGCATACATTTCTCATATCTATATCGTTTGAGTCGAGTGGAGCACGTGGTTCGCACTAGTTTTATGATTTGGAGCATTACGAGTGGACGTTAACTACCTATACATACATACACATGAATTAATGCATACATATGCATATAATAAATACACGTATTTATAGTTATATTCATTTTGGTTTGCATTTTCTTTGGCATTATGTATACCAAAATGTAAACGTACGCATGTATGGATGTATTTACGTGTATTTGTGTGTTTGTGTGTGTGCTAACAGAGAAGATAAGCGCGACGAGGACGCATGGGAAATTTTCTAATGTTATTCTTCAGTCTGGTTGGGAAATTCACGAAACTCAACACACTTTTACTTTTTCATCTTTTGCTTTTGCTTAGCAAGGGCGCGTTATCGTCATTGTTTGTGAGTAGATATGTGCGTGTGTGTGTGTTTGTGTGTGCGTGTCTGTGTGTGTGCTTACATTTAGAACAACAATAACAAAGGAAACCTAAAGCCAAAGAAGTTGGCAGCAAGTAAAGCTCGAAGACGATACCCAACAAGAAATATATATATGTATGTATATATGTATGCGTGTGTATGTGTGTGTGAGGTGGCAAAAAACGTTTGCGAAGCCAAAAGAGCACACACTCTATGTGTGTATCCATACTGATTGTGTGTGTGTGCGTGTTAGCTGTGGCAATTGAATGGGCACAAGTTGACATGCGTAGTACAATAGCAACAATTAAAACTGATATTTGCATAGAACATAGACATGAGTTATAGAAATTTGCTTTCGACAGGAAATCAATTTACAATCTAGCTTCCTGACAGCTAAACTCTCTCGAAAATAGATGAAACCATAATTAAATATAGAAATGATTGGATCAATGTGACGCATGAATAACATATATACATATGTATATACATATGTATGTATATGATGCGTATTCGATTCTAAATTTGTGGCCGCTTGGCCCTGACCACGACCAACATGACGTATGCGCAACATTCGAACTCGAGGGCTTTTCATTGGAAATGTCAACCAACGCTTAGACGAATGTATACATGTATATGTGCGTGTACATACAGTTACAGTTACGGCAAGCGAGTGCAACCAATTCATAATTCAAGAGTTCGTCAAATTGCATTTGCGTTCTATTTATAGTTCAGCAATCGAAATAGCATAACGCTTTAGTTTACCATAAATGTAATTTGTTGAGGTCCAAATGAAATAAACTCTATTCGATTCAGAGGCAAATGCGCGCAGCTACAGAATTTGTTGTGCGAGCGTGTCACACGCACACACACACACACACACACGCACGTAGCACTTTGGAGCAAGTACGTAAGCACACACAAGGCAACAGTCAAGGATATATAGCGCGAATGGCTATCAACGCGCGATGTTGACGTCGTCATTGCCGCCAGCTGCGCCACTTGATAGAGATTGGATTTGCATACCCTGTAACTAATTTATATTTATAGGCTGGATTATGCTCATCTCAGATCGTAGAAAAAGTGTAACTCAAGACAGCTCAGAAGTTGCTTTTGACTATGCAATGCTCTCTCACTTGCTTTTATCGTATCACATGAAATATTAAGTATACGCATATTAAGAGGTATCATGATACTGAGAAATCAGTATTCTTTTTCATTTTTTTATTGATTTTCAAAATTATAACAAACGAAAATCAAATAATTATATAACATTGAAAATAAACTACTATTTATTATTATTTTTAAATTACATTAAACTTTAAATTAATTTTGAATTATTTTTATAACATTTATTTTGAATTTTATTAATGTAAATAATAGATATTGCCTAACAATTTTAGTAATTTTCATATTTATTTGCTTAAAATTAAAAATTAATGAAGAAAAAAATGTATTTAAATTTAATTTACTAGCGAGTGTATTCAAATTTAATTTACTAGCGAATATACTAAACTTTAATTTCAATTTTTTTTAATTTTTTTGATTTTTAATTCAAATTAAAGGTATTAAGAAGAAATTCAGTGTACTAGTTTAAATTATTCATTGTTTAGCTATTTAATATATAAATTTTTGGAAAAAGATATAATTCTATACTTAAATTAATGGACGAATATATTGAGGAAAATTGGCTAACACTAAGAATGCCTGAAATTACAATTTTGAAACAATTATATTATTTTATAAATTTCAAACATACAAATAATATATTGTTTATTCATTTCTTGCTTTTTAATTGAGATTCAGATACCATTATTATATAAACAACTAATTGAAACGTACAACATTTTAGGTGTTTAAGAACATAGCACTATCATAGCACCATTACATGATAATTATCCAGGGCTACAATATGGGTTTCTTAAGAGTCAAATTAGGCATAAAGAATATCTAGCGGTCCATGGATCATGTAGGTAAATTCAAAAGCCATATGCATTGGATCAAAGTTGCTGTGGCCTGGCGTGCAACGTCAGCAGTGCCACTTGAGGACTGCTCGCTCTCGCAACCAGCAATCGAATGGCTGTGCCAGCCAAGCTGACGACCCACTAGTTTACGAAAAGAAAACAAAAAACACAAATACAAAATCTGTGTTCATTTGTTTGTTATTTTCTATTGTTGTAATTGCTGCTGCTGTTGTCGGGTGTGGTTGTGTTGCTGTTGCTGCTCTTGCTGCTGTTGCTTTGGCTTTCTATGTATATAGCGTTATGAATGAACAGCACCGACGATGTTGTGGAGTAGGTAATTAAACGGCAGCAGGTCCGCACCTCTGTTTGCGCATATGGCACTCGTTTTTTTTGGTTCCGCTACATTCATGGCGGCCATTGATGACGCACTTTTAGCCCTTCATTGCTATCGGCTAGTAACGGAAACAGGGGTAACAGCTGTCTGTATATGTGTGTGCCTATGTGTTTCTGTCTGCCTGTGTGTGTGTGTGTGTAGGTGTGTTAACAGAGCAGAGCAGGCCAGCCGGCTTGTAACGAGCCCACACACTTTTTTTCACATTCAATTTGGTCCTTATGCTCACCTGCTGCTGTTGCCGCTGCTGTCGCTGTTGCCGCTGCTGCTGTTGCTGCTGCTGCAATTGCCAGTTGCTATCGGCCCCCGCAACCCTTGAAAACCAATTGAAACGTTGCCTGCAGCTGTGCGCATCCTGTACGCGCGCGCCTCTGTGTGTGTGTGTGTGCGTTTGTGTGTGAGCGTAAGTGTGTATTTCTGTGTGTATGCAATTGTGAGTGCATCTCGACCTAGTTTTAGGCGAGTAACAGAGCGCAACCGCTGCTGTTTGGCAACGGTGTGTGGGCGAGTGACTTCTCGTTCTTTCTGTCTCTCATTCTCTTACTCGCTCTTTCGCTGTCCAATTTCTAAGTCTCTATCTCTTTCTAGCCGCTTTTGAATCAGTGCAGCCCGCACACCTACCTGCCTACCTGTTTGCCTGCCTGCCTGCCTGCTGCAATTGAATTCTTAATTCAAATGCCAATCCGATCTTTCGTTTACTCTTTCCCACTCACAATTTAATGCTCAAACTCAATTAGTGCAGCGTACAACGCCTTCGCACGCTTTCTAATGAGAGCAACGCCTGGGGTTATGCTACACAAAGCGAAAGTTTGCTCTAAAAATACATTTGAGGCGAACAGAAATGGAATATTCACTTGCATTTGTCTATAAATAAGTACATATACATACATATTGCTTGTATATATATATGTGTATATATTTCGTCATAGATACACATGTATGTATCAAGTGTATTATTTACATTTATAATAATTCATTACGTAAATCAATGCAAGGAATTGACTTTAAAAATTGTATATGTTTCAATCAATTATTTACATAAGAATAATATGTGAATCTCAATTTGAAAGCAAGAAATGGAGAAATAGAATCCGAATCTGAATGCAAAATAAATATATTGAGACTCAGTATGTTATTTACAATGAATGTAGATATCCAATATATTTTTTAAATATTTTAAATTTATAAAATAATATAATTCAGAATAAAAAGGTTATATATATTAAATTATTTGTATATTGTATATTTATACTATTTATCCATGGTTACCTTCTATTTTGAAAATCTCTGTCAAAATTTTTAAACCAAATACGTATGCCTGGAATCCGAAAAATATGGTTGGATTCGGAGTGAGTTTTGATTTCTATCGAACGGCTTTCAAGAAGCCAGCTGCAGGGTATTTGATCACATTATGACCTTTCAAGCACTCCTGACTTTAGCTGGTGTCTAAATGCATATTGACATGCTGAAACTGTCATAGCAGCTATTAAATATATAATTGCACTTAAAATATGCCAGTGAGCGATTATTTTTAGCGAACACTGTCAAAAATCAAAGCTACAAGTGTGTGTAGCACCGTCTGTTGGTATATTAAAATCTCGAACTGGTCGCGATTGTATTTATATATATGTAATATGTAAATATACATATATGTATGAACAAATTTGCAGCTGAACTGGTTGAATTGGTTGGGAAATCTTTAGGTATACGAAAAATAGGAAGAAAACGCTCTATGCAATAATTATAATAATAGCCGAAACAGCACAAATAAACAAATTAACGCACGCGGCGCGGCGCCTAACGCGCTTCCAATTGGGAGAGGCAGCAGCAGCAGCAGCGATATGGCGATTGCTTTGTCCGGCCTGGCCCCAGTTTGATAGATCTCGTGGCCAGCCGCAGCCCCAAGAGACCCAAACGGCTATTGCCAGTGGCCCCACGGTCGCTGCTGTGTCTGTGACGTCGTTGGTCGGGCTCACGTCATGATGCTGCCAGCTGCTGGTTGAACAATCTTTTGTTTTTGGGAAAGTTTAAATGCGCACACTTTTCGACACAAATAGAACGATGATGATGATGGGGATGACGCTGATGATCATTGGCGTGCATCTCGGTCATGTGGAGAGCGTGCGGATGCAGGTTGTAAAAATCACACGATTTCGGTCCACATTATGATGGCAATTCGAATATGTATTAACAAAACTAGACAAATGTATTTTTATAGAATTTTGGGGCCACTTTTCTCTGATTTGCGCTTTCGATTTGCTCGTTTAGTGCTCATTAAATTGAACTTGGCAGCTCGCAACTCACTAAAGGCCAGAAGTGATCTACGATCAACAAACAACAACAAAAACAAAACAGTTCCGTCAAATTTGTATAATTAAGATCTATCTATAATAATATGTGAAGCATACAATAGTTTACTGCGTTCTATATATAGAGCTTGCATTATAAAATATATTGATTTCAATTTAATATCCGTATGATATTAAAAACAAGAAAAATTATAATGTTTCTGGGCGTAATAGCGGTAAATATCCATAAGGTCAGATACAGCTCCCGTAATTTCTGAATACTTTCGGAGAATCTAACTAATGTATTCACAGAAAAGTAAGGACTGTTCTTTTTATGCAGGAATAATATGTAATATATCATTTCCAATTCTCCAATGTTGTCAGATACAATTCTGTTGAATCGATTTCGATAGACATAGCATCACAGAGCTGTCATGTGCAATTCAGTCATTCACACAAATTAATGTTATATTTAAATGTCTAAAATATGTATTCCTTTGAATCTGGGTTCAATATTTATACAATCAAGTACTATCCAAAAATGTCTCATGTGTACTGAGCTATTTAATAATAACATGAATATTTGTGTGACTTAATTTAATCCCCATAAATTTAAGATTGTGAACAAGGAATGTTAATTATAATGTTTTTATTGGATAATAATTTTAAGTAAAAAATGTGGAAGCATGGGCAGCACAGATAGAGCAGTAGATAGAGCAGCACTCAACTGAGAGCAGAGCAGATCGCAGTCGGATTCTATACTGTTCACTACTAAATGTCGGATACTCAAACAACCTAAAAATCTTTAGATCTGATTGATTAATTATGCTCCTTCATAGAAATGATCCACCTACAGGAGCCAGCTAAGCATGATCAATAACATGATTAACAGGACTGAAGAGGGTAAGAGGAACGAATCAATCTCTACCAAACAAAGTTAAGAGTAACGCCAGTTTCTCGGCTTAACAATGTGTTTCTTGTTAAGTTTAAAGAGTTTTATTGTTTTATTAGTGTTGTATTAATATTATACTAGTAAAACTAAGTATATTAATACTGAATACAAAACTAATTAATATGTATATGATATAAGTATATCAAGTTTACTTCTGTAATTAATTTGCTTCTAAAACTGGTCGCTTTTGGGTCTCTATATAATAATGATTTTATTTTTAATTTGGAAAGTTGGTACGCAGGGAGAAAAAAAACCAAAGGGAGAGTACTTTCCCACTTTTCCAAATCCAACACGAAATTCCTCTCATATTAGCTTAAGATTTCTTATTTCTCTATAGAAATGGTTTTATCAATTGAAGGGCAAACTAAATACTAAAGAATAGCAAAGAAGGAAGATTCATACATGCAGGATGCAGGAATTATATACATACATAAATTCATTTAAGTCTCTATAAAATGAAATGTTATTTTCTATATATGTCTACTATCAAGATATTTGCCAATACCTTCCCACACAGCAGAGACTTCAGTCTACTCTTAAAGTTGAGCTTAATGATAGTTTTTTAATGATCTATTAATTGCACTTACCTTCGCAAATGTAGCCCTGCTGTATGAGGCCCCACAGTAAATCCGAGCAGTGGTGACAGTAAGTTGGCTTATGAAATGTCTTCTTCACAAATGAATGCCCATCCGCCATTTTGTTTTTGTCAGCTACTGCCAAAGTTTACAGTTAGCAGGTGGCTATCGCTGGCGCCTGTTGAAAAATCGCGTGGGACCGTTTAAAGTTGTTGGGCGTTGTTGTTGTTGTTGTTGCTGTTGTATATGTTTGTTATGGTTGTTTAAAAATGGCACGAGACTTTGTGGTTTGTTGATGACTTTTGTTGTTGTTGTCGTTGAGAGGCGTTTGTGCTTTGTTGATTTGGTGTTAGCTGTTTCTTTGTTTCCTTGTTGGTTTGTTGCTTGTTGCTTTTGTTTAGACGGGCACTGCAGGCTGCATATGCAACTGCGCACCTTTAGAATAGTTTGACTAGCCAATTAACTGTAGTAACTGGTGCGTACTAAGCCGCAGCCAGCTGAGGCAGTGGCAGAGTGCTTGGGCCTAATTCGAGCAGCGGCAGCGTCACTTGTGATGGCGCCTTCAGCAATATGGGCGTACAAAAATAGGCGTGACTTGAGAGCTGCGTAGCCTGTATCGCCAACTGCTGCTGCTGGACTGCTGCGGCTCCTGCTGCTGCTGCTGCTGCTGCTGCCCTTTGGTGTTTCAGTTGCTGTTGAGGTTGTTGTTGCTGTTGCTGTTGCTGTTGCTGTTGTTCGTGTGGCAGCGGCTCCGACTTTGGCACCGCCTTCTGCTGCTGCTGCTGAGGCTGACAAAAGCGATGACAAATGGACAACGACGACGACGACAAAAATGACGACGACGGCTGCATTTTCATCCATTGATCAACTGGTTGTTGCTTTTATCCAGACATTGGTTTGCCGGAATCTGGCGCCTCTGCGCTCGCACCTTCGTAATATGGTATTAAGCAGCAAATTCTTGTTTTTCCTTTAGTCTGGGATTTATAATCAGATTGAAGGCTACGTTGTCATTTACGTTTAATAATAGAGCTATCGGCTTTTAATTGTAGATCATTGTAGTTATGTATTCTTTTGTTTTATATTTTTGTTTAGTTGTATATTTATGATTATTTTGTTTCGAGTTTGGTGGAGTGTTTGTAGTTATATATCTTTGTTACTTATTTACAATTAACTGTTACTGTTGCTTCAAGCTCTGCTTTAAAGAAAAAAATCACAAATTACACTCATTGCTCACTTGCTCGAAAGCTCATTATTTTATTTGATTGCATTCTTCGAAACTAGGATTTATTTATTTATTTAATTGATTCGTTTGTCGCGTTTATTATTATTATTTTTAGCGTCGTACAACGTTCACAACAGCAGCGAAAATGTTGGAATGGTCTTAGATTCCGCTGGCCCGCAGTTGGAGCGTGTTTTTCCTCCTTGGCGCTGCCTCCTTTTCACTACGTGGGCGCCGCACCCCCAAACGACAGGCAATAAAAGTTTCGAGATAACATAATATGCATGAGCGGGAGTTGTCAGCAGCCCACCACAGTCAGAGCGTGAGAGCGTGAGAGCAAGCGTGCGCGAGAGAGTGCCTAGAGACCAGCGTGCTTGCTTGTGTGTGGTGAGTTTGCAGCGATGAGCAGCAATACCCGTTATTTGAGTGTACGCTATTTCCCCACTCACTTATCGCACATATAGAAAGTAGTAGACCTCATATAATAATAAAAGTGGCAAAAATATGATATCAACAGCGTGTCAAGAGAGACCCAGCACGAACTCAACGACAGCGAGAGAGCGACAGAGTTGAGCTGCCGATTAAAATGGCATTGCAAGTTTTAGATTCCAGAATTGAATGAAAATGCATTATGCTTTCCCTGTGCATTGCCTATCAAATGCCCCGATAAGTATGCACCATTGCCAAGCGGAATAACAGCGGCAATAATGCTGTTGCTGCTGCTGATTATGATGATGATGATGACGGCATAGTCGCAGAAACGTATGTGTATGTACATACATATGTACATGTACAGCGTTGAATATGTATGAGTTATGAGTGCTCCAACGACACCCACGCACAGAGCGTCCATTCACTCAAGGACAATCGCCAGAGCTTGACCATTAACTCATACAAATTCTAATAATAGACGCCACACTTGAAATTTTAGCTTTATGACAATATGAAAAGGACCAGCAAGACCAGCGGCAGTCTTTATAAATATATCAAATCTATTCAACATACACACTCAAATATGTACATGTGTACATAGGTATAACTATATGAGCCAAGCATGACACAGAGGCCTGTCGCCACCGTCGCCACGACGTGGGAGGTTCATGTTCATGTCCTGGTCACCCAGCGGCATGCGCAGTCCCCAATTCACCACACAAAAGCCGAAGCGAAACTGTGTGCAAAAAGTGGCCAAGTTTAAGGATAAATCACTACGAACAGCAGTTGAAAAGGGAACAGAGAACAGTGGAGCACAATGGAATTTGGCAACAAATGTTGCTGTTGCTGCTACTGGCATTAGTGGGGTTAGTGCCGCATCAATTTCGTGAGTGCGAAATATTATGGAAATTAATAAAAATTATTGACGTTGAGGCAGTTCGCACAACACACATATAAATGTTTATGCGCCTGTGTGTATGTGTTTGTATAGCTATGCATGTACATATACATATGTACATATGTATGTGTGCATGCATACATATGCGTAGAGCAAGCAGCAACCGTAACACTTTTCACCCACAGCCCGTGCTTGTAGCGCCCATTGCCCACTCCCACTTCCAATCTCACTCTCCTTTTCTTTTACTCTCTCTCTTTCTCTTTGTCTCTCTCTGTCGCTCCCGAACGTTGCGCGCTTCGCTCTTTTCGAGCCGCATGAACAAATCGCAATAGATAGAGAATTTTTTTCTTTCTGCCACGGCTGCTCCTGTTCTGCGGCTGCCAACATCGTTCATTCCTTGCCACACATACACATACACACACTCACACACACACACACCTACACAACAAACAGATAAACGGCGAACACATATACACCCACACATTCACACATTAAATGGCAAAGTCCTTGACTGCGTGGCTTTTATTGTACATATATTTTTGAATTGTCCAAGACTTGGAAACCAAGCAAAGTTTTATAAATTGCATTTGGGAACGTTTCAATTGTATTAGCTGCATTGAATGTTTAACAAGCGCCTATGAACTTTGCACATATGACAACGTAATTTTCACGTTAACACACGCACATACTCATATATATACACACACGCACACTCACACGCACGCACACACACAAGCAGACACTCGCGCAGATACAAATTTTATGTACCATATATTTTTGCTGGACAACGTTGACGACGGCAATTTGCAAAATTGAAACTGCTGCTGCAGCTGCCAGTGCAAATTTGCACAATAATTTTCGATTTTCATTTTCATTTTCGTTTACACATCTCCGCTGCGGGAGCTAAGAATTTTCACTGCTGCTGCGATTGCGGTTAACAAGAATTATTTTTCATTTTACTTGCGCCCTTTTGAACAGGCTTTCGGAATTTTTCGCACTTGATTTTCAATTTTTCTGGGTTACGTTTGCGTTTCGCGATTTATTTGGTTTATTGTTTGCACTGCGATTGTTTGCCGTTTTTATTGAATGGAAAATTTTCACAATTCGAATGTGCAAGTTTTCAAGTTTTTCTTCTTTTCTTGTACATTTTTTCCCACTTTATTGTGTGGTATGTGAAAATGAAAATTCTTCTCTGTGTGTGGCAGTGCCCCCGTAACGTACAAAGAGCACACACCTAGTGGGTTGTGTGTGCTTGTGCTTCGCTGAAGACGATGGTGCGCTCTGACTGGGACCGAAAATTGTTCAACGCTCGCCAGCTCCGCCACTCGGCTGCTGCCTGCAAATTCGGCGTGTTGAAATTTTTGGCGGCCGCAGCAGAAAGTCCCACCAACAATACTGGGAAAATAGTGGGAGCGCGCTGCCGAATTTGCTCAAAATTCTCTCAAATGGGCTCGCTTTTGCTCTCGCGCTCGCATGTCTCTTTGCATTCGGTTTATACTCCCTCTCAGTCAGTCAGGCACTTGCTCTTCCCGTGATGTTTTTGTATTTTTATCTATTTTTTTTTTGGCAAACGTTAACGAATCGGTAATCGATAAGAAATATCGAGTCACTCCTTTTGACAGGAGAGAGCTATTTCATTGAATGCAGTGATGGAAAATATTAAACTTATATTGCGATTTATCGAAAAACATTAATCAATCAATAGAGCATTTTTAATTTTAACTCAGTAAATTTCTTCTCTTTCTGGCCATTGCTTAAAATTAGTTCATTGCTACATTAACTACACAAATTAAATTTGAAACGATTGCCTCAGCTGTTTCGTCAAATGTGATTTAAGTAGAGACTCCAACACTTTCTAGCCGAGACACACTTCACTTGTACTAACATTGATTGCTCGATGTTGTCAAGTGTGACCATAGATTAAAATAAAAAAACCGTTTTCTACATATGAATATTTTGTTATAGCATTTTTTATTTATTTATTAATAATGTGTAACAAATGTTTGTCAGCAGTTAAAGATGATGCATGAAGGTAATTTACGTTGTGCGTAACTATGAAATGTACATGTTAATATATATTTATATAGATCAAGGTATATTTATATATATATTTGAGCACGCAGGTTTTTTATTTGTAATTAAATAAAGCAGTTCCACATATAGCTTTAAAGAAGTCTAGACTTGAATTAAGCCTTTAGGTTGGTATTTGACAACTTTTTTTTTTTTTAATGAGAGAAGGTATATTTATTATTTTGATGATTCTGGATTTTTTTTTTAATGTGAGACAAATTAAATTTGCCGAGCATTTGTAAAGGGAATAGGTTGGGAGTACATTTGAATAAATATATATATGTGTAACAGCGATTTGTGTATAAAATTTTGTAGCTGCTAAATTGTATAACCATTGATAAATTAATATAAGACAATAGACAATAGATATATACTTTTTCGGTTATGTTGAATACACGCATACGTTAAGGCGACTTAAATGGTTAAGGGATTCGCATTTGTTGCTAATTAGCCAAGGCCATGATCGTCGAAGAAACTTTGTGGTGTTTCGTCCTGTAAAATGGAAATGCGTTCTTCATTATGTATACTAGGTATTTCACTTGTTGTGAATGTCCAATTGAAAAAAAAAAAATTAAATTATAATTATCTAAAAATGCTACAAGAATATAAAAATATTTCACTTTGCAAAGAATGTATAAATATAAACCAACATTACAAATAAGCTAAGGGACGATTTAGAAACAGGTTGTAGTTTATGGAAAGTATTTTATCTATTTTTGCTTCTATTTTGTTTACAAAGCGGGATAGCGTGGAGAATGGTTGTAGGAAGAGAGAGAGAGAGTGGAAGAACAACGGTTAAATACAGCATAGTGACTCGAGCAATCAATCGAGAGATTACCAAAAACATCAATCACAAGAAGTAATAACCAAAAGAACTTAAGACTTAAAAACAACGATCACCGTACAAACCTTATCTCTAAGCATATTAAGTACATTTTTTTTACATACAAATACATACATACAATTTTGGTGTTTTTTTCTTTTTTTGTAAAATATCTCGTTTTTTTATTGAAATACAAAACACAGGAATTTGGCTAAAATTTACAACACACATATGTATATATATAGATAGAGAGTTAAATATATTTTGTATATAAACTATTGATTTTGTTTTAAATATATTTTATATATATATATATATTTATTATTTATTATTTACTACTTAAGGTTTTACATTTCATATTTCATTTCAGTATCTGCATGATTATTTTTGTTTTTAAAGCTTAAATTTTCTATGTATTGCATTTATTTTCCCTAGCTTCAATTGTTATTGCCCATTTAGGAGTGTAAGAAATAAAATAAAACAATATTGCTTTCTTATAGATCTCGGAATGATACTTTTGTCAATTATTAAACTGTTAAACGCTTATGAGAAGTTAAGTAAATGTTGCATGAACTTTATTCACTACTAAGGATGAGAGGACGACACCGCGCCATATGCTTGTATTAGACGCACCGCCGCACCGACTGCTGGATGCGCTACATGTTTGAATAGTTTTTTAAGTTTTAGCCTCGCTATGTGAAAATACTAATTGCACTTTGTTGTTTATGCTTACGAAATCAAATTAATGTAGAGTTTAACTTTAATGCGCACTAACAAGATTTTGTGTGTGTTTTTTTTTTTTAACATACACTGTGAAGTTGTGTGTGTGTGTGTTGTGCATCAAATTGCTGCAGCTAAGTACTTATGTATGTATGCGTGTATAAGGTGTTTGTGTGTGTGTGTGTGTTTGAGTTCTATAAAAGGCGTGCGTGCTTGTTTGCGTGTGTTTTATATCAACTATGTACTAAGTATTTTTTGGCTTTCTTTTAGAGTAGTCCAATGTCTCTTAAAGTGCCCTCAACAGCTTCGTCCTGGAGTACAGAGAATAAGAACAGTAAGAACAAGAAGAGTAGATACAATAGATAAAAGAGTAGTGTCTGTATTTGTGTGGGTGTGTGTGTGTGGATTTGTGTTATTTTAATTTTGTTTTGCTTCATGTATTGCAAAATGTTAAAAGAAGAAAACGGCACAGCTCAGTTGTATGTGGGAACAATTACTTGACATGTACACAGTATGTATGTGTGTTTGTGTGTGTGAAGTAGACAGCACAGCTTAGTTGTTGCAGTATGTGTGTGTGTGTAAATTTTTGTTTGCCCATGTACACAGTCTGTATGTGTACATGCATGTTGGTATGCGTGTGTGTGTGGTAAGCGCACGAGGCGTGTCGAGCGGGGCGGGACAGTTGACAAGCTACGCATTGCAGCGAACAAAATCCTATGTAAGTGTAAGTGCAGCCGACGGCAGGTAGAAAAAGCTTAGCAATATTTACAGCCTTCAGTTTGTTAATCAAGAGACTTTCGCGCTAATCCTTCACAAAACAAATCTGGAATCCTGTCTAAATTGTGTTCCTCTAAGGATCAACAGACCCACTAACTATTAATTATAAAATGTTTTAATTTTTTATAGTTTTTTTTTATATATATGTATTTTCTTTTTACACAATGTTTTTTTTTTTGGTTTTCATGTTTTTTTTTGTCAACTGTGATTAGTTTAAATACTCATTGAAGTCCTGTAACATCGATATATGCAGTGGCGGGTAGGGTAAGCGTTAATAATAGTAATACAAGAGAGAGGGTATTATGGTTACACATTTAGATATGCGGTTAAATAAGTTGCTATTAAGGTATTGTAAGTGTATAACAGTTAGTTAGTTGTTGTTGTTGATTAAGTTCGATTGGGTAATGTAATTACAACACTACAAAGATCATGCAAAACAAATAACTTGATACCTTCTCGATAATGTTTAGTTTTAGGAAACAATACACAAATTTGACTACCACAAATTGTACTACATTTTAATGGCAATATATGTATATATATACTCTAAATGGACGGAACTACATTGAATGTTTACAATTATGGCAAGCTCTCAACATTGTGATAAAAACGATTAAGATATTCAATTCATTCTCACAATTAGTTGCGTGGGCTTTTCGTACATTTCGTTTGACTATTATGTTTTTTGTGTTTTTTTTTTTTTTTCAATCTTTGTTTATCTTGTTGGCAAGTTTGTAATTGGTCGGAATATTAAAAAATTGGAAAGCGCATTAGACATGCAATGACAAGTAAAGGCAAATAAAAATATGTGTATATGCTTACAAATCATTTAAACTTAAACTTAAGAACAGTTTCACTCAATATATAAATTGCATTATTTGTAAATTGAATAAATAAATATCTATTGCAGTGAGTAAAAGAACTCTTCTTGCTGTTTGGATTTGGTGTTCAATATCAATAAATTCAATCAAATTTATATAGAGTTTCGATTAGTTTCGTTCGCACAAATTAGAGAAAAAGTATAGAAAGTCAAAATAATAATTAAGTAGTAGAATTTGAAAGGTATATGTACCGAGTGATATGCATGAAATGGCATTAATATAATTGAATGATATAACAAAACATTAACGAGATAAAAATAATGAAAAAAACTTTAGTTTAGGCCAGTAAAATTGATGGAACAATCAAAATATCTCCGGCATAATTATAAAGATACACTTATATACACACACAATGCTAGGCATTAGAGTTCATATATCTCTGGTGTACTGACCTCTTGTAGCAGATCCTGTGAGGCGATCGCCTTCAGGACATTCTTCTTCGATGTCTCCTGAATTTCGCCGCCAATCAACAATTCGTCCAATATGAAATACGCTTTCTCAAAATTGAATATGATGTCCAATTCACACACCTGCAAATAATGCATATATTATGCATATAATTAATCGATATGGATTATATATCTATAAATAGCTTACACTGCCAAAATACTTATCCAACAATTCGACATAGCGATGGATTATCTCCAAAGTCAGCAACTCGTTGTCGTTCTGCTCAATGGCACAGCAGAAATATAAGCTAGCATAACTGCAATGAGAGTTGTTCATTCTGTTTAGCGTATATGTACACATATTTATGTTTATTCAAATACCGTTTGTAGACAATTTTGCAGTCTTTCCACTCCAGGAAGGAGCACATCTTGGGCTTGCGGGCTAATATTGTCGTGACCAGTTCACGTGTTATCTTCTTTTTGGTCTTGTCTGGATAAGCCATATACCATTTTTGCAGTCGAAGTTTTCCTTGACGACTGAATAGCAGCATAAAAAGCATCTGAAACGGAACGACACGCAACATAAGAAACAACGGAGCCCGACTTCATTGCAGGCGGCCATATGCACTTTGTGACACGAGAAGGTGACTCAGGTGTGTTGCGCTGGCCAGCGCAGCAGGGGTTTTTCTTTAATCTAACATTTCACATAAAGTAGAGGAAAAATTGAGTCCACTCCGCTTAACTTACCATTTTAACTGTTTCAGCGTTGTTTTTATATTATGTGTGTGGCTTAATTACCACAAATATTAAGAAAACTTAAATTTTTCACTCAGTACATATAGGAAAATTGCTTCTTCAACAGCTCTCAGCGTTCACTGCGACAGAACACAATCAGCTGTATCCCAATGTAGTGTGAATGGCAAAATGATTTCTTATCGATGATAAATAGTTCATAATCGATTAATGAAAATATTTAGCAATATTTGTTGGATCACAATTCTAAAATCAAAGTATCTGATGAATTGCAATTACTTGTTAAATTGTTCCTACCAAAATACAAAACTGTATATCTTGCTTTTCTTATTAAACTATTGGTATAGTTGTCATCAGAATATATATAGGGAATATCACTGGAACTATACACTGGCTCATTTTATTGTACGTTGAAATCAAGTTCGATCATTTAGTTCCTCATTCATCAAAATAAATCCGAGGTGGTGGCAGCTTGCCGTGCACTTGTATATAAGTCGACCAATTTCATAATTTACGAACAGTTTGCAAACGAATTTATATATAGGCAGTATGTCTATTAAATTAAAAGCAAACGTTAATAATCCGCCCATCAGTAAGTTGTGTCAATTAGCAATTAATTAAAACTGTTTGCAGTATTGTGAGGTTATGGTTAAATGTGCTACGGCCTGCATTTACACATATGGATCTATTTGTGAACCAAATATATGCACCTATTGCATCAGTTTTATATGCATTTAATAATAGCTGTCTCTTTCATACAACCTAAGGTGGCTTGGCAACGGCGCATTTGATCAACCCATCAGTGCCTGTGGAAATTGTTTGGAGTAAGGAGACTTCGCTACAGTTCCCGGACAACCGTGTCCTGGTTTGTCACTCGAACAATGACGTCTTGCGGGCGCTGGCACGTGCAGCACCGGACTATAAGCTCTATGGCGAAACGGCCATTGAACGCACACAAATCGATCACTGGCTTTCGTTCTCGCTGACATGCGAGGATGACATCTCTTGGGCCATGTCCTTCCTGGACAAGTCCATTGCGCCAGTCACTTACCTGGTAGCCAATAAGTTGACTATAGCTGACTTCGCGCTATTCAACGAGATGCATTCGCGTTATGAATTCCTCTCGGCGAAGGGCATTCCACAGCACGTGCAGCGCTGGTATGATCTGATCAACGCACAGCCACTGATCCAAAAGGTTCTGAAATCTTTGCCGGAGGAGGCACGTGTCAAGCGTAGCACAAGCGAACCCGCAGCAAAGAGCGGCGAGCGCAAGCAGGAAGGCAAATTCGTCGAGCTGCCTGGCGCTGAGATGGGCAAGGTTGTGGTACGATTCCCTCCAGAGGCCTCTGGGTATTTGCACATTGGACACGCCAAGGCGGCGCTGCTTAACCAATACTACGCACTGGCCTTCCAGGGAAAGCTAATTATGCGCTTCGACGACACAAATCCTGCCAAAGAGACTGTAGAGTTCGAAAACGTCATACTTGGAGATCTGGAACTGTTGCAGATCAAGCCGGATGTGTTCACGCACACTTCCAACTATTTTGATCTCATGCTTGACTACTGTGTTCAAATGCTGAAAGAGGGCACGGCCTATGTAGATGATACGCCGCCCGAGCAAATGAAGCTGGAGCGTGAGCAGCGCATCGAATCGGCAAACCGTTCGAACTGTAAGGATATTTAATTGGTCTTATTTTTAATGCCTTGTAATCAAAAAATCCTCTGCCTTAGCTGTTGAGAAGAATCTAGCCATGTGGCAGGAAATGGTGCAGGGCACCGAGGCTGGCCAAAAGTGCTGCGTGCGGGCCAAGATTGACATGTCCTCGCCCAATGGCTGCATGCGTGATCCGACAATCTATCGTTGCAAGAATGAACCACATCCGCGCACAGGCACCAAATACAAGTGAGTGAGCTCTTTTATATAGATGATCTTGAATATAAACAATATTGTATTTCTAATCAATTCAGGGTCTATCCCACTTACGACTTTGCCTGCCCCATTGTGGATGCCATTGAGAACGTGACGCACACGCTGCGTACCATGGAGTACCATGATCGTGACGATCAGTTCTATTGGTTTATTGATGCACTTAAACTGCGCAAGCCATACATTTGGGAATACAGTCGGCTCAATATGACGAATACGGTGCTCTCGAAGCGTAAGCTTACTTGGTTCGTGGAGTCGGGCCTGGTCGATGGTTGGGACGATCCACGTTTCCCCACGGTGCGCGGCATCATTAGACGCGGAATGACAGTCGAAGGACTCAGGGAGTTCATCATTGCACAAGGTAGCAGCAAATCTGTGGTGTTTATGAATTGGGACAAGATCTGGGCCTTCAACAAGAAGGTTATCGATCCCATTGCACCGCGTTACACCGCGCTGGACTATGATAAACGCATCATTGTGAATGTGGCCGGTGCCAAGTTGGAAAAGGTTCAAGTGCCAGTGCATCCCAAGGATGAGAAGCTCGGCACGAAGACCGTCACATTGGGTCCGCGCATATACATCGACTATGTGGACGCTGAGGCTCTCAAAGAGGGCGAGAATGCCACATTCATCAACTGGGGCAATTTGCTCATCAAGAAAGTCCACAGAGATGCCAGTGGCGCAATCACCTCCGTGGATGCCGCGCTCAATTTGGACAACAAAGACTTCAAGAAGACGCTAAAACTCACCTGGTTGGCAGTAGAGGACGATGCCACGGCGTATCCACCCACGTTTTGTGTTTACTTTGACAATATTATTAGCAAAGCGGTTCTGGGCAAGGATGAGGACTTTAAGCAATACATTGGCCACAAGACGCGCGAAGAAGTCCAGATGCTTGGCGATCCAGAGCTCAAGAAATGCAAAAAAGGCGACATCATTCAACTGCAACGTCGCGGCTTCTTCAAGGTGGACAACGCCTATGCACCTCCCAGTCCGTACACAAATGTCACCTCACCCATCATTCTCTTCTCCATTCCCGATGGCCATACTAAAGATATGCCCTCATCTGGCCTGAAGATCAATGCAGGCCCAGCGCCAGTTGCGAAAACGAATGTAAGTGAGATTTATAAATAGGCTAAAGTCTAAATAATTCTTATTGCACCAGATTTGTTGATCGTATGATCCCACATAAGTCTTATAAAAAAGGAAATCGTTTTTCAAGTAAGAGTGAAAGGAAAGAGCGGCTTCTGAGCTATATTTTATAGGTTACACACCCACGTATATCTAGAGAGTTCAATAATAATTACTTGGCTTACAAGTTTTTATCGTAGTATAACCAAAATGAAAGATAGCCATCTCATTTAGTATACAACTCTCTTGCTTTTTGAGAGCGTGATAAGCTCTCCCACCTCTGCACATTGCACAAAACCAAAAAAAAAGCTAGAAAAAGATTCACTTTGTTCATGTGTTCACTAGTTCGTTTATGTTGCTCATCTCTAACGTGAAGCGGCAAGGGCAAAACCAGTTCCATGCAGTCAGTGCTTGCGATCGGTTTGTGTTTGCTTCTACCTTTCGTTGAGCGTGGAGGAAGAAGAAGACAAAATTAGGTTTGTTGTTGCAAATTGAAACGTTACATGGCTGACACGTATTCAAAATTGAAACGAACAGCACTTTCGTCTGCACTATATGCAAATTATTTAACTGATTGTTTCGTTTGCAGGCGACCAGCAATAAAACTGCCAACGTTGCATCCGATAAAGCCGCTGATTTGGATAAACAAATTGTTCAGCAGGGCGATCTGGTGCGTGAGCTAAAGGCTAAAAAGGCAGCGAAAGACCAAATCGACGTTGCAGTTAAGCAGCTGCTCAGCCTGAAAGCCGACTACAAGGCAGCCAGCGGAAAGGATTGGAAGCCTGGCCAGGCACCAGCAGCTATGGCACCAACAAGTGTTGCTCCAGCTGCTGCTGGCGATGCAGCCAGTGTCAATGCGAGCATTGTGAAGCAGGGAGATTTAGTGCGCGAGCTGAAGAGCAAGAAGGCAGCTAAGCCAGAGATTGATGCGGCTGTCAAGCAATTGCTGGAGCTAAAAGCTCAATATAAAACTCTGACTGGGCAGGATTGGAAACCAGGAACCGTAGTTGCAGCTGCAGCAGCGCCAGCGCCAGCTGCACCTGCAGCTTCAGCTTCCGCGTCCTCAGACATTTCTGCAGTGCTGGCTCAAATCTCAGCTCAAGGCGATAAAGTGCGCGAACTGAAGGCAGCCAAGGCTGATAAGGCCACCATCGATGCAGCCGTAAAGACGCTGCTCAGCTTGAAGGCGGACTACAAGCAGCTCAGCGGCAGCGATTGGAAGCCAGGCACGACAGCGCCGGCCGCCATCAAAGTTAAGCAGGAGAAGTCGCCGGAACCGGCAGCTGCCACTGCCGTAGCCAACTTGCTGAACAAGATCACGCAGCAGGGCGATAAGATTAGACAACTAAAGTCTGCCAAGTCGGAAAAATCGCTGGTCGATGCTGAAGTTAAGCTGCTGTTGGCTCTAAAGACCGACTACAAGAGTCTTACGGGTCAGGAATGGAAGCCAGGCACCGTAGCGCCAATAACTGCCCCAGTCGCTACCGTGGATCTGACTGCTGAGGAGGCAGGCAGTGGTGGTGAGGTTGGCAGTGTCTTGTCTAAAATCAAAGAGCAGGGTGATAAAATACGTCAACTAAAGTCAGCTAAAGCAGCCAAGGCAGCCATCGATCCGGAGGTGCAGAAGCTGCTCGCTCTGAAGGCAGAGTACAAAACTTTAACTGGCAAAGATTGGACACCTGACGCCAAGGTCGAGGTTAAGGTGGAGATTAAAACTGAGGTGGCTGCGTCTGCCAGTGATCAGCTGACGTTGGACATCAATGCTCAGGGCGAAAAGGTGCGTGCCGCCAAGAGCAGCAATGCTGCCAAAGAGATTATTGACGAAGAGGTCCGTAAGCTGCTGGAATTGAAAGCCAAATACAAGGAGGTAACCGGCACCGATTTTCCCGTGGCTGGCCGCGTTGGTGGCGGCAGCTCTGCTAAGAAGGCAGCCAAAGAACCGCAGCAAAAGGCGGCGAAGCCGGCCAAAAAACCTGCGCCAGCTGCACCTAAACCGGACTCTTCAAGTGGTGTAAAGAAACAAACCCGATTGGGCCTGGAAGCCACGAAGGAGGATAACCTGCCTGACTGGTACTCGCAGGTGATAACCAAGGGTGAATTGATAGAGTACTATGATGTTTCCGGTTGCTATATACTGCGTCACTGGTCCTTTGCGATTTGGAAGGCGATCAAGAACTGGTTCGATGCGGAAATCACGAGCAGGGGTGTCAAGGAGTGCTACTTCCCAATCTTTGTCTCGAAAGCGGCGCTGGAGCGTGAGAAGGATCATATTGCTGACTTTGCACCGGAAGTGGCATGGGTGACCAAGTCAGGTGATTCGGACTTGGCCGAACCAATCGCAGTGCGTCCTACCTCTGAAACGGTCATGTATCCCGCCTACGCTAAGTGGATACAATCCTATAGAGATTTGCCCATTCGCCTCAATCAGTGGAATAATGTTGTGGTTAGTAGTTTAAAATTCAGTCGAATACCCTAATCCTAACCACCTTTCCCACTTATTTGTAGCGTTGGGAATTCAAGCATCCTCAGCCGTTCCTGCGCACTCGTGAGTTCCTCTGGCAGGAGGGTCACACGGCGTTTGCCACCAAGGAGGAGGCCGATAAGGAAGTGCTAGAAATCTTGGATCTGTACGCGCAGATCTATACAGATCTGCTGGCCATACCCGTGGTGAAGGGACGCAAGACCGAAAAGGAGAAGTTTGCTGGCGGCGACTACACCACAACAGTGGAGGCCTTCATTTCGGCTTCGGGCCGTGCTATACAGGGTGCGACCAGTCATCACTTGGGTCAAAACTTCTCCAAAATGTTTGAGATTGTCTACGAGGATCCGGAAACGCAGCAGAAAACATATGTGCATCAGAACTCGTGGGGCATCACCACGCGCACCATTGGCGTCATGATTATGGTGCATGCGGACAATCAGGGTCTGGTGCTGCCTCCGCATGTGGCATGTGTGCAGGCTATTGTCGTTCCGTGTGGTATTACGGTTAACACTAAAGATGAGGAGCGAGCCGAGTTGTTGGGCGCCTGCAAAGAGCTGGAACGCCGTTTAAGCGGCTCTGGCGTGCGCTGTGAGGGCGACTATCGCGACAATTATTCGCCTGGCTGGAAGTTCAACCACTGGGAGCTGAAAGGTGTGCCGATTCGCATCGAGCTGGGTCCCAAGGACATGCAGGCGAAGCAAATTGTGGCCGTGCGACGTGATACCGGTGAGAAATTAACCATTGCCATGGCCGACGTGGAAAAGAAGATTCCTGCCCTTCTGGAAACCATTCACGGAAGCATGCTCAACAAGGCGCAGTTGGATCTGGTGTCGCACACAAAGCTCGTCAAGTCTTGGACCGACTTCTGCGGCCAACTGGAGAAGAAGAACTTGCTGCTAGCTCCCTTCTGCGGCGACACATCCTGCGAGGATAAGATTAAAGCGGACAGCGCGCGCGGGGAAGAGAACGAGGCCGAGCCTGGTGCACCGTCCATGGGTGCCAAATCTCTGTGCATACCTTTCGAGCAGCCATCAAATATTACCGACACTGACAAGTGCATCAATCCCAGCTGTACGAACAAGCCCAAGTTCTACACATTGTTTGGTCGCAGCTACTAATGGATCACAACTTTGATTACCAATTTGTACTCAATAATTGGACCTCGCTTTTCTCCAGACTTTGTTCAAATCCTTATTTAATTTCCTAAATAGTAACTCAACACGGAATGGTCTAATTTAATTTTTGTTTAATTAAAAAAATTTAACAAAACTGTCACATAAATGGTAAAGTTTTTCTCTATATTTATAACCCGAAAGATATGTTCCATTTAAATCTGTGTATTTTAAGAACTGCGTGAAATGGTGATTATATTCATAAGGAACTATCACATCGAATAACTGGTTCAAAAGTGGTTTCCAGTCATAGCTTGGCTTTTATCCGGCTCGAACATAAGCTGGCAGACTCAATTAGAGTTGAGCACGTGCCGTGTTTTTTTTTCGTGACACGAACTTTATACTTTGACAATTCAAATTTAGCGCGTTAGTCATTTATCCAAAGTAAAAGAAATGCTAACAAATACCATATAATAAATAAAAAAAATAATTTTCTAAATTTTAATCAAGTCAAACACAAGAACATTAATATTTATTATATTTTATTTGCTTATATAAATTTAATTTGATAATATTCCACATATCCTAATCATATGTTAGGAATGTTAACTCTTTTTACTCAAGTTTCAATAATATTTGTGAGTTTAGCGACATATCTTCTAAAGGAAGCCTAACATTTTCAGCGGTCTATCCCGATAGACAAGCCGTATCACACAGCTAATGCACTCGTCTTCCTAAATTCACGAATAGCTTTTAAATGAATTCGCACACGTTTTTTTATATCATTTTCTATACATTATCAATAGGAGGCCTGTTAATAAAAAATACATATATAAATATGAATATAACAAACGGATGCAACCGGCTGCAAATCACTTGCTCAAGATCAAAGAGAAGTTAAATTAATTCTTAATCATCTTTCTCTTTTGACAAATTGTAGATTTTAGTTTGACAACTTTGTTCCGAGAGGTGCCCTTCACTTAGGACTTCAACCTTTAAAGGTGTAAAGTTTTATTTTTTTTGACTTTCTACGCCTAATTAGTAGGTTCAACGAGGAGGTCAACAGTAATTCATTCACTAAATGTCGAGCTGTAAAACTCTAAAATATTCGCCACGCCCTTATAATCAACTATACATATATAAGTTTAGGTCAACCTTAAACAGATAAATTGCTTAGCAGGCTATACTTAAAGCATTCTTTCCATTCTTCTTTATTAAATAGTCCTAAAAGGCTCTCTTCTTCCGACTCTTTCATCACTTCCTTCTGCTCCTCCTCTCTCTTCCTATTCTAATAAAAATTATTTGAGGAGCTCAATTCAGATTGCATATAACCAATATGCTCGTTAAACTTCGTGGACGTGTATAGACAAAGCATAGTTATAGACAGAGACATAGATCAGACGTCAACGGAACTAAAACTTGTTTTTCTTGTGTGCTCCGCATTTGAAATCAATTCACCTAAACAATCGGTATCCAATTTCTAAACTCCTCCAGCCAATTTGAATGCAAACTCTGCATCTAGATTCTAGACAGATCGGTTGGCACTTAGCTAATTTATTGCTTGAATTTCTTAAATTTGAAAAAGTGGTTTAGAAATTCCATAATTTTTGCATTGCTGCATTATTATTATTTTTTTATTATTAGTTGCATTAATTTTTATTATATTTAAGTATAATATTAAAAGATCTAACGACTCATTGCTCTGGCTTATTTGAAAGTAAATTGCTATTCATAATCTTAACAGATCATGGGACGTTAGCCTCGTAGATCAAACATTCCAAGCGCACACACGAGCAAAAATGTATTAAAAGAATTCTACTTCCATTTCGAAATATTATATAATCAATAGCATTCTCTGCTCTCGGCTTCATCCAGTTGTCGCACACTATACGACATCGAAGCAATGTATAATATATGTATGAATCTAACTAGTATATCATATGAGGTATGAACTACCCGCCCAGGTATAGAAACTAGCCTGGCCTTCGATTCAGAGTGTTTTTGTCTTCACATTTCATGTTTAACATTTAAGCACAACATAATTATGTAGTCATCGAATTGCTGCATCTTTGTTAAATAGATAATAATTTTTAAAATAAATATAGTGCTTAGTTTTCCGTATTCATCAGCGTTCACAGACGACTCGCTGTTGTAATACTTAGTCACAGCTGCAGTCGATATTGCTGAATTGTTGTTTTCGATTTAACTGGTTTCACGCTGAGAGTAAAGCCGTTGTTTATATCATTCGACGCGGGTGTGTAATAAGCACTCAATGAATTTGTATAAGCTTACGAATGGCCGATTTCCAATTGCAATTGCAATTATACTATTTTATTATATTAATTATCAGCATAATAATGATAATAATAATTTATATTAAAAATTGTTTATTTACTAGTTTAAATCAATAAATAACAAGTGAAACAGACCGAATCAGCCTCGAATAGATTTTGTATTTGAACAAATGCATAAATGATTTCTTTGTAAATAAAAAAACTACTTATAGACGATTTCAAGTTCTTTCAAAATAAACCTCTACTTAAGCAAAATATGTTATGTAATGTCCTCCTACGCGATTCAATAAATTAATGACAGTTTAATTTGATGAGTTTTGTTTAAGCTTAAATTGTGAATTAAATGGATTAGACTTGAATTTTATTCCTATTAATAAATTTATTATAATATGGATATATATACATCTATTTTTTTCATGTCATAAATACAATATAAAACAGATTAAAATGGTATATATAGTTACATGCATAGATATGTATATATTGTATTAAGAAGTTAAAGTTAGTATATATTTTAAATGTATATGTAAACCAACACATTTTTGTATTTACAAAAGAAATAACCAATTTACTCAGATAATTGTAAATAATTTAAGTAATCATTTACAAATATATAAATAAATATTTTATAATTTTAATATGCAATTTGTATTTATTTTTAAAACATATTCACATGCACATATGTATATACATATATAAAATTAACCAAAGATAATATTAATTAAAAAAAAACATTGTTTTTGAAATTTCTCAAGTAAGATTTCCTGCATTACTATTCCTTTTCGAACAGCAGCAACTAGATCTAGATTGTATTGTGATAAATAGTAATTGAATTGTAAACTCGTTTTCCCAAGTGGTCCATATTAACTAAACAAAAGTAGATGTAATTTTGAATTGCTGTGAATGAAAAACAGTTGAGTTGAGGCGTTGCCTCGAGCCTCGAGCCCGCACCTAATTAAAACGTTGTTAATGTCTGCGTAAGTGGGTAAATGTCAGTAAATACCAGGAAAGCAGTAATGCATTTATAGGCACATATTAGCTTAACACTCTTGAGTGTTAACTACAGAATGCGCACGCCTCTATTTATCATACTGCGATTTTTATAAACTATATTGCATTAAAAAATTCATTTAAGAAATTACCAATTGCATATGCTTTGGATTTTCTTAATTAGCAGATAAAATATCGAAAAACTAGTACGAATTTTAAAAGCCTTCTGAATAACCTGAGGTCAATCGTTTAATCTACCAGATTTCTCGATTAAATCGACTATTAATTACAAATTGGCAGGTGGTTTGATCTCTACTTAATCTAGATCCTATGGATTTCACAATTTATTTCTCGAATATTAATCGAACTAATGGCTATAAAAATTGATTCAGATTAGTATAGATTTTATGACCAATTTTTATTTTGGAAGTAAAACAGAACAAAACAGTACACTGCTCAAAATTCATTACTATACTCTATTATTTAGTTACATATTTAGCCAATTCAAACAAACAACAAGTTTTCCGCATCATTTGATTACAAAATTAAAACGAGTATGGTTACTCCAGATGTAATTGATTGACTAGCATATACCCTAAGCCTTTAAGTCTTCACTTTTATAGCGTAGCTGTGGTGCCAATGACCCATGTATGTAACAAAAGTTTCTATATATGAAAAATCAAATCTAATTTTCAGATTTTGAAAATAGAAGAAGCTCGGCTGATCAATCATAATATAACCATTAACTTAAGTATTAAATATAGTATATATATTTATATATATGTAATTAATGAACTCTTCCCCTTTCAGTAGATTAAATAATTATTCACTAACATTATACCCGTTTTTAATTTCTACAAGCTATATATAGAATTGAGAAAAAAAAACGATTTTGAGGTCGCCAATTCGCAGTCTGGTGACTATGGCAGCCAATTTCACAAGTTTACAGAACCATTTAGTACGACTGTTAGATGCCGCTCACCCTCTATCTCTCTTCGACACCTGCTCTCCGAGCAAATTATGTCACGTCATGATCTAAGGAATTCTCTGTTATTATAATTCCAACGGCCAATAACAAGTGAAAACGAAAACGTAACGGATACCAAGTTTATATAAGCATCTCAAGGTCGTTATTTTCAATTTCTGGTTTCTTTTTCTGGTCGAGCTATTGCGAAAGTCAAGAGGCCATCCTGAATTCGTTCAGGTGTGTGCAGGATGAGCGGGAAGCGGGGTGTGGGGTGTGGGGCTACATTTAACAGACAGGCTAGTCCACCAACCAGTCGCACAACTTTTTTCTTCGTATTCATTGCAGTTTTTATATTTTGCCATGGAGCTGGTTCCAAAATGAATATTTATCCCAAATGCAGTTGCGCTCACACATAAGCATACATGTACATACATATGTATATAGCCATGCAGATCTGCCGTGAATTGAATGACGTGCACTTTTAGGGTCGCATCAAGCTCCACTCGATGCGGTTCGACTCGAAGCGACTTGACTCGCTGGCCTTGACTGCAGCTGAGGCCTGTCCTTTTTCTGGGATTTTTTTTCATTTTCTTTCGGTTTTGGTTTTGGTTTTTGTTTTGTCTTAATTTTGCCAACTGGCTTGACACAATCCGCTGCCCTTGCACTCATGTAGACATTCTTAATTGGCTCTTGATTGTATTTTATTGCAACAAAAGTAAATGCACTGCAATTAATGGTAGAGAGCTTCTCGATGCGTGAGTGAGTGAGCCAGGCTTTAAAATGCATTTGGGACTACCCGGAACGTTGTCGTCCACTGCAAGCAATACCAGTGCATTTTAATAGAGAATACATATAGGTAAACAAACACACATACACACAAACACACTCTCACACAAACACACACACCTGCTGTTGAACACGTATGCGCGAGCCGCAAATCATGTCTGCCCGTCGTGTGTGCGTGTGTGTGAGTGAGGTGACGCCGCGTCGTTGAATTTCCTTTACGACGAGTATAACTTCAAGCCAATTGCCCGCTTTGAATTCAGTCGCTGCTGAGTATTCAACTGATTCAATTCAAATAATTTTCTGAAGCAGCCAACGGACAAATAAAGTAAAACACGACAAGATTTTTTTAAAAGTGAGTTTCAGTTGCAGTTTCGGTTTCGGTTTCGGTTTTAGTTGCGGATTCTACAGCAGTTTGTAAATTGTTAAAGAAAACATCATGTCAAGAGCTTCTATATTTGTTAGGCGTGCGCTAATTAAGCGTTAAGTGCTCAATGATTTCAGTCCTTAAGGCAAGCCCGCGTGTGCAGCTACTGTGAACTATGCCATTGTGAACCAGCCCACTTATGTTTAGCTAAACAATTTACAAAACTTATGCGACAAAAAAACAAACCCAAAAACAATTGCAAGACAAATAAAAAATATTCACAGTGAAAAAAATAACTAAAAAAAAATTTGAAAAAAAATAAACAAAAAAAAAAAACTGTACAAGTGTCTTAATTTGCGTGTCCGACTGTCGTCTGTTTAAATTTGTGAATATTACGTGAAAATCCATTTGTATTGTTGATCTAGCCAAAGCCAGTGGCGTGAGAAGCTTGTTGTGCGTGTGTGTGCTAGTGTGTGCACGTGTGTGTGTGTGCTCATTTGCTGAAAAATCTGCAAAATACCAGACAAGCAGCCACTAATATTAACGGCAAATATTGCAATAGTCGATGCATATCGCCCAATCAGGCTGCAGGCAATCAAGTTTGTGTTCGAAGTCTTTTGTTTGGCTAGGAAGCAACTGCACGAGCTTGCAGCAGCATTTGCTATTGCATCAACCAATTAACGAGTTGTTGGCCAGTGTGTAAGCGGCTATTGTAATAACGCTTAAACAAGCAGCTCAAATTCCATGTACTCAAATCGAGCGGGGGCCCTGGCCAACATGACGTATGAGTTACAAAGATACTTAATCTTTTACTTTTAAGTGTGGCCATAAAATGGAGTAAGGAGAGAAAGAGGAATACAATTATAATAGCCATTAAATTACCGTAGACTAGTTGGATTTATAGTCGCATTAAATTATGAGAACTTGATGAGCCTAGTTTAATTGTATATAACTTACTTTCTTTCAAAGTAAACCCAAATACCTTAATTCACTGACTCACAAAATATGGTGAAAAAAATAAAAAATAATCATAATAAAAAAATCATAATTTAATATAATAAATGAAAAGCAAACAAATGAGGCGCTGTGTTAACACAGGTCTTTAAACCTAACGCCGCTTATTCAGCCTCATAAGCGTACAACAATTTGGTGGCTTTTGCTGTGGTTGCGGCTGTTACTGGGAAACAAAAGAGTAAACAGATTCCAAAATCCCTTCACGCCAATTACGCCCAGTTGCATGACTTGTTTTTGTTGTTGTTTTGCTGCTGGTGCTGCAGTGGCTTGGATATTTCGTAAAAGCTGACATTGAAATAGAATATTTACCGAGTAACTGGGCTAAACAAACAAACACTCAAACAAGTGAGCCTCATTTCAGATCTTAATTTGCAGTAGCAGCAGCAGCCATAGCAACAAAAACAAGAACTGACAGCCCATCTAGAGCTAGAATCTAACTGAATATTTGTCTCTTGCAGCACACAGAGCTCGGCAGCAGCATGGAGTTAATGAATAATGCCGCCGATTCTGGCGTCTCTGAAATCGCAAATTATTATGCCGGCAAAACGATATTGATAACAGGTGCAACTGGTTTCATGGGCAAAGTTCTGGTCGAGAAGCTGTTGCGTAGCTGCTCAGATCTGAGTGCCATCTATCTACTGATACGCACCAAGAAGGGCGTGGAACCGACTGTGCGCAAGGAACAATACTTCAAATGTGTCGTAAGTCCAATTCCAGTCAATGCAATCATTCATTCAGTCATTGTTCAATGGCAGCCAAGAGCGGCCTGCCAATCCACCAGCCACATCCACATAATGCAATGATTTCCATTTATATGCCGTTGCCCTCTGGTATTCTCACGACTGCGGTTTTAAGTTAAACACATTTGAAAGTTAATACAGTCGTGGCTTGAATAATAGCCACACATACAATTGCATGCGAGTAGAATGTGAGAGGGAGTAGAATGCCGCTTTTAGAAATTAATTTCATTTTTTATTTTCCTCCATAAGTTAATATAATTCAAGTGCAGTTGAATGGCTAAATTAATCATGTAAGCATCAATTTATTTATTTATATTTTTTATTAAATGCTTGACTTGACTCTAGTTGCAAACGAGACTGAATCATATATTCACCGCATAAGTATTAGACATGTAACATATACGAATGTCGTAATACAAAAATTTATTTTTATAATGTTATTTTATTTGTTATAGTTTTAAAATCTTAAATACAAAAATGTAGTGGCTTACCTTAAAAATAGTATTTAAAATTTATTTTACAAAATCCAGTTTTTCTCCCTTATAAGTATTATAAGTATTTTTTGTTATTATAGTAGAAGAGCGAAAAAATATTTAAATGTGTTCATAGATAAATTTCGTATTTTGTTTATACTGTCATGGCATAAGAATTAGGCATGCATTTAAGTGAACTAGCATAGCCGCATACGATTTGTTTTTCGATTATTAGTTTATTATTAATACAAGAAATGAAATCATAAAAGTTATTGTATTTATTTTAATATTATTTAGTTTTAATTTTAAGTTATTTCACTCTTTGCTATAACTACAGATTTTTGTGAACAATAATTTAAGAGTTTAGGCTAAGAAAATAGGTCTTTTCTGCTAAGATATTTATTTAAATACATGACATATGGCATATGCGATAACATAATCATTTGGGGAATTGTATTTATTTAATATTATAAACATGCTGCTGAATTCGCTGCATTTACAAGTTCAGTTCGTTGGCTTTATACAGTCATGGCATATATAATAGGCACACCTTATGCAGTCAACACGCATTTTGAAAACAAATTATTACAAACATTTTATTATCAAAGTAATGTAATTTTCAGTTTAAGTATTAAATGAAATTGGAAATTTTACTTTTTATTATCAAATTATTAGGTAAAATTATATAAATTAATATCTAAAAACTGTAATTAAATTGTACTTACTTGAATTATTTAAGGTTTTTTTAGTCGGGCTTTTGTGCATAATTTATATTCATATTAAATATCACCTCATCATGTATTACAAAAGTGTATTTAATATTTATTTGTTTACTTTCAACAATAAGTAAATAGGGAATTGATGAAGGTAGCTAAGTATATATTGGCATATCGGTCTGTCTGTTTGTCCATTCGTCTGTTTGTCTCTCCAGCTGATGACTCTGTCTATGAATAGCTTTGTATTTATTTAGTGTAGATATTATTATTATTTAATTTCTACATTTACATTTTACGTATTTAAGTATATGTAATTATAAATTATTTGATGTATTATTTAATATTAATTATTCTATTAAATTAGATATTCATTTTTGTTAATCTAAAATCAATAAAAGTTCTCTAACCTTTTGTGGTTTACTGGCTTCGCATTACTTCCATGTGTGTCTGATATATCACGAATGAGTAATTTTAATTCTTATGTAATCGTTTTCCGCTATAATACAATAGATGCTCTAACACGTAATTATAATTAGCACATTTAATTAGCTGTAATCGAGGTATTTAACGTTGGGTTATTCCCAAGAACCATGACGACTGACTGACCGCCAAAAGAATGCGAGACTTGGTTGAAAATATGTCCAACTGACATGGCCTAAACAAATAGTTTAACCAAGTTTGAGCACTTAAGACATAAAGTCAAGGTCAGTTCATACATTTTTCGTTCTATTGCGATAGTTGGGCAATCACAAGTTGCCCTTCATTTGAAGAAATGGTAATACTTAAATTTCAAATTACCAGAATTATAGCAAAAGTCAAATAGGCAAGCGAGTGCAAGACATTAAATTGTAAGCCAAGACTAGCACACACTTACACATAAACACACCTAGACATTTATAAGTCAAGGTAGCCAATATCGGTGTCGAAAAAATCCAAAATTACAATGACTATTCATTTCTGTCACTGCGCGCACACAGACATGGTCCATTAGGCGAATCTAAGCAGCTGCTCCACGTAACCCACCAGCTCTTAGCCAACTTCAGTTACACACAACAACAACAACAACAACAACAACAACAACAACTGCATACATACACACAGTAGCTTAGCGCATTTGAAGTAATTGTGTCTTTTAATTAATGACCCACCGTTGTTTAACTGTTTAACTGTTAATATTTTTGCAGATTTTCAGCAAGCTGTTGGAGAAGAATCCCGACATCGTTAATAAAGTGCGCGTGGTAAAGGGCGATGTGCTGGAGCCGGACCTTGGCCTGGACGCCAATGACATCAACACACTTGCGTCCAATGTGGAGATTGTGTTCCACTGTGCGGCCAATGTGCGCTTCGATCAGCCGCTGCGCCCGATGGTCAACATGAATGTGCTGGGCGTGCTGAAGGTGCTGCAACTGGCCGAAAAGATGGCCAACCTGCAAGCACTGGTCCATGTCTCCACGTCGTATTGCCAGTGCAACGAGAGCGTGCTGGAGGAGCGTGCCTATCCGGCGCCACAGAATCCGTTCGACATCATCCACATGGTCGAGACAATGGACGATGCGGGCCTAGCGGAAATAACTCCAAAGTATATATATGATTCATTGCTCAGCGTGCTTTGAGCCGACTCACGTTTCCATTTGCAGATTGCTCAACGGATTGCCCAACACGTATGCTTACAGCAAGGCATTGTCGGAAGATCTAATTTGCAGATATAACAAAAAGCTACCTGTAATCATCACACGGCCTTCCATTGGTATGTAGGTCCAGCAAACTGGTTTCGGGCCCACTTCTTGGCTGTGGCTAACACCCCCTTTTCTTGCAGTAACGGCGGCCATACACGAGCCCATGCCTGGATGGATTGAGGGCGTGAATGGGCCAACCGGTCTGATGATTGGCGCCGCACGCGGCGTCATTCGTTCTATGCACTGCAATCCAGATTTCGCATCGACGGTAATTCCCGTCGACAAGGCCATCAACGGCATGATACTCTGCGGCTACAAGCGCGGAAAGGCGACTGCCGACTCGAAGGTCAAGAGCCAACAGAACCAAGTGGAGTTCTGCAATCTGTGCATCTCCAGCAAGGCCCTGATGTCCTGGGGCGAGAGCATTGAGACCGGTCGGAAGTTTTTCTACGAAACTCCGCTCAGCTTTGCGCTCTGGTATCCGGGCGGTTCCATCAAGCGAAACTATTACCATCATCTATTTTGCGTCATCTTCTTCCACTATCTGCCTGCCTATTTCATAGACTTTTGGCTGCTACTCTTCGGCCAGAAGCCCTTGTAAGTGACATCTGCTCTGCTCGCTCTGCGCATTCAACTAACGTGAACATTCTCTCGTTTCAGCTTGGTTAACGTTCAGCGTAAAATCTCCACCGGACTGAAGCTGCTGCAGTACTACACAACAAAAGACTGGGACTTTAGAAATGATAAATTTCAAGAGATGAGCCACACGCTAAACGCCACGGACCAGGAGCTCTTCGACACGTCGGTTAGCCAGGTCAACTGGGAGACTTACATCAGCAACTATATACGGGGCATGCGCACCTACATTCTGGGCGAGAGTGACGCCACGTTGCCCTATGCCAAAATAGTTCTACGTCGCCTTTATATACTCGACTGGGTCAGCAAGATTTTACTCTTCTCGCTCACATTTTGGTTCTTGTGGACTCATTTGGATGGATTTGTGGAGAAAAGCGATGCGTTCATACGAGCATCGCTCTACAGCATTTATAGCGAACGTAATGCCACAGTACTTACATAATTACACTGTTATTATATTATTAAAAGTATTGAATAAAACCCATTGACTTGCAAATACAATTGCTGACACTTTGATTAGAAATGCAAACATTTTCTTAGCGATCGGTAGAGCATGTCTAAAGAAAACTGCGGAGCAGCTTGGGAATGCCCTTTGTATTTTATAAAAAGACGAGGAAAGGGGAGCAGCACAGAAGACTACAAAAGACGACTTTTTTAATTGATTCAAGGACTGGAATAAACGGCACAAGTGTATAATATTATTTAGAATTACTTTAAGAGGGAGCAAAACCAACTATTTAAACGTCCTTCACATAGTCATCTTGCTAGCCTTGATCAATTCGATATCGGTCAAGTTGTCAAGTTGTCAATTTGCATAAGGATATTGCGGACTACCAAGGTGATCAACACCTGCTCTAACTGGTCGCCCTCACAGTCATCTCGAATTTAATTATATTGGATTTGATGCAGATTTTTAAATAAATAAATACTCGCAAAATCGTGATATTAACGTAAACATGCACAATGTTTGCATTTAGTTCAGTATTTAAGAATACTATACTTTAATGTAAAGTTACATATAAATATTTAAATAAACATATAACCTAGAAACTGTTTTATTCCAGTATCTCTAAGTTTTACTTTAAACACAGGTAGTTTAAATAATGCGCCAAACACAAAAATACTAAAAGCGAAATATTTCATATCGATTGTGCTTAGTCTTCTTTGCTCACCTCGATGAAGTGGCGATAGTTCCAATTTTTAAAAATTCTAGTGTTCTATCGGCAAATATGATGTCAAAAAAAAAAGAAAAAAATATGAGTCATAAATTTTGTATCTCTGCTTTAGCTGCCGTTTTTACACTAACCTGGTTAGTGGATTTGATAACAAATATATCGCTCTTTCGAATATTTACCAAATCTACCACTTGTGTATCGATTAATTTTATCGAATGTAACTATCATATGGCTCGTCATATCGGGATATAATTTGAGCCGCGCTCATCATCAAGCTCAGTGCAAATGCTTAAGGCGTTTAAGTAAGTCGTGTATTTTGTGAGTGCGCATAAAGTAAATAAAGCCTATCAGCCAAAAAAAAAGGTAAAAGTCAATCGTACGTTATTTTTATCTCAAATGCGACCGGTTTCTTTTAAATCTAGAGCCTCTTTACATATGAATATTAAACGTTTCTCATAATTGGTATTAACAATTGTACAATCTCTGGAGAATTATGTGCCGTCAATCAATCTGGTTTGCTCCACTATATAAGTGATTTCAAAATTATTTGTATTATTTTGTTGTTGTTGTTATTGTCACACGCAAACACAATTTGCTATTGTTATAGAGAAATTAATGTGAAGTTGAACTACATTTTTCCTTTCTTGTATTATAAAAGCCGCCCTGGTAGTAAACGTACATACATTCGTACCCAAATGAATATTATATGTACATATGTATGTATACACGTCAGAGTTTGGTTTTACCCTCGGGGTTCAAGATAATGAAATTCAAATATGTATAGAATAACCTTATCTCTGAAAATTCTAACTTATTGTATAAGCTGCTCTCAATAGTTTACAGTTATTTCTTGAGAAAATCACTTAATATAAATTATATTTGTTACTGCTTCTCCATTGACAACAATTGTCAGGTAAACATTATGCATTGTCACGTTCAATACTTTGCGTCAACTTCAATTGGAAATTCCCTGCAAACTAGTTGTTATTGTTGTTGTTTTTTTCGCCAGTGTGCGGGCAGCGCAGGCGTAAGTGGAGGCTATGCCTGTGTTGGTAAACTGCGCGCAAAAGCCAAACAGAGCAATGGAGAGGGAGAGAGAGATAAAACAAAACCAATTACAAAATCGCCAATACAGGGTCAAAGAAGAGCGCGTAAGCGTTGAAATGCTAACAATTTATGAATCACGTATACATATACATATTTTCAAAAGTGCACACAACTGTGTGGACTTAAACTGGTTTTTGAAAATGTTAATTTTCTGTTTTTATTTGGGTTTTTTTTCTTTTTTTTTGTTTTTCATTGCGTCGGCAAATCACGCAACTATGACGTCGCGCAGTCAGCTGCGATCGCATGGCGAAAAGACAAAGTCGTTCTCTTTTTTATGCTCTGCCGAGTGCAACAACAGCAAAGACAATAACAACAAAAGCCGTTGTTGTTGCGAATTCGGTTGCAGACCAACTTTCACTTTCCGGCCGTCAGCTTGAGAGCGGGATGTTGCAATTGGCTGAAAGTGCGATTTAGATAAATTGGCTGTCGCTGCTGTGGGGAGCATCTCAGTGGATGAATCAGCCAGCTTGAAGGGTTTTTTTTTAATAACCTGAAATCTTACGAGGCATGAATTTGCCGGCATTTAGCTGTTTGCATAAATTAAGGCGCCTTTAAAGCCAAACGATCTTTGTACGTGACGAATGCTAAACGGCATTATCGAGGCACGTTTTTCCCATGATCATGTCAGCTGTCACTGACTTGCCAGCCATTTGATCTGCTTTGTCAACATTCGAAATGCCATTAAGTTGCAGCAGTGCCATGAAATTAACAAGGAAAACGATTTAATTTGTGGGCTTAGCCTTGGAAAGGAACAAAAATGAAAATGACAGAAAAAAAACCCAAAATGCAAAGTAATAACTGCATATGTCATCACTTTAGATGGAAATGGTTTTGTTGGATTGAAACTTAAACTGAATTGAAGTATCAGAATAGAAAGATTAATAAAGTTATTTCTCAAGCTTGATTAAACAAGATATGGAAAGAATACATGCATAGAAGCAAAATTATAATTGTTTATCATGCTCCTGGCATCAAGTTTATATTACATTCTAGGCAAATAAAAATAATATGCTATCATTCCTTCAATTTAATAGAAACCCTTTATAAATTTGCTTTCATGGAAAGTACATTATATAAATTATTGAGAAACTCATACCGAAAAACTGATAAGGTTATTTTTAAAACTAAAAAATCTATAGGTAATAAAACAAAATTGTTATTCTGCTGTATATTAAAAAAATGATTCTAGTGTACATCCCTTAGTCATCAAGTTGATATTATATTTTAATCATTTTAATCAGCTGATGCTATAATTTATAAAAGAAGTCTATAGGTAGTAAAAGAATAAATTATATTTCAAATAAAATAATGTTTCTAGTGTCATTGTACCTCCTTCACGGCATTATAGACATTCCTATCAATTAATAATGCCAGCAAATAATACCCGGCAAGGCCATGGTATTGAATTCCACTCACGTAGTATTTGACAAGGCGAAGGTTGCTAATCCCAAACTCTCTCAAATTGTATATCTACAGAGAATGAAGGTGTTTTTATCGCTGATGATGCTGGTGCTGCCAGCGTTGCTTAACGCTGAATTGTGTGGCACCCCAACTGATAGCAGCATGTCGTCACTGCGCTCCGATTTGTATCGGGGCCAGCAGGAGTTCTCGGTGGCCATGCTGGATGCCATACGGAAGGCGACGCCCAACGAGAATGTGTTCTTCTCACCCTACAGCACCTACCACGCCCTGTTATTGGCGTATTTCGGTGCTACCGGCGAGTCGGAGAAGGAGCTGGCCAATGTGCTGCGCCTGAACTGGGCGCCCAACAAGGAGGCGGTGCGCAGTGCCTATCGCACTGAGAAGAAATTGCGTGAGGTGCGCACAAAGCAGATGCCACTGGAGTTCGCTTCCGCTGATCGTCTGTACTTTGACGAACACATCAAGCTGGCCGATTGTCTGGATTCGCGTTTGCACGATGAAATTGTTCAGCTGAACATTAAGGACAATGTGGAGGAGACGCGTCAGCAGATCAACTCTTGGATTGCCAACGTCACACACGATCAGATCAAGGACATGATTGCCTCTGGCGATATCGATTCCCAAACTCAACTGGTCCTGGCCAATGCTGCCTATTTCAAGGGCCAGTGGTCCAGCCGCTTCAATGCGGACAAGACCCAACAAATGCCCTTCTATACATCCAGCGAGAAGTATTCTTTTGTGCCCATGATGAAGCAGAAGGGAAACTTCCTGCTGCATCCGGATGAGCGCCTAGGCGCCCATGTTCTCCAGCTGCCGTACAAGACATCGATGAAGGAGGACGATGAGAATTCTGATATATCTATGGTCATCATATTGCCTGCCTTCAACAATGATGCACTTGAACAGGTGCTGTCCAAGCTGAATGCCGACACGTTAGACGCGTCGCTTAGGGAAGCTTCGATGCGCGAAATCGAGGTGTCGCTGCCCAAATTTGAGTTCGAGCAGCGTCTGGAGCTCTTGCCGGTAAGCGGGGAGACCCAATGTCATATCTCCTGCAACTATCTAAAGCTTTTAACTCTCCTTAGATCCTGGGTCAACTGGGCGTCAAGCAGATATTCGGCTCTACCGCCAGTTTCAACGACTTCAGCACCGAGCAGCAGCTCTCGTTTGGCGACGCCAAGCACATGGCCAAAATCAAGGTCGATGAGGAGGGCAGTACAGCGGCGGCGGCTACAGTCTTGGTCAGCTTCCGATCGGCCCGGCCAGTGGAGCCAACCAAATTCGAGTGTAATCATCCGTTCGTCTTCCTGATCTACGATCACAAGTCGAGCGCTGTTTTGTTCACGGGCATCTATCGAGATCCCAAGACAATGAAGTGAATTTCCACGCCCAACCATTTAAGGCTCGTGTCAACTATGCCAGTGCAAAAGTAAGCATGTGTGTGTATTCGACTCTTGTTATCTTATAACCCCTAACCAAATTTCGTCTCGAATAAGCACAAGTACCTTAAAAGCGTTTAATTGTATTTGTAAAATAAATTATATGAACAAACCTTATATTTCGTTTTTTTAATCTTTTCTGTAAGTATTTTGATTTAAGGTCTTCAAATCACTTTCATTAAACTCTTTCCAAGGGGATGTAACAGGTCGGACCTTTGCAGATCTTGTTAATAACAGCCCTTGAACATTTTAAGCAAGGAAGCTCATCGTTCCCCCATACAAATTAAAAGGCTTCAAATTAACATTCACTTTGCTCTTTTACTATTTTCTTTATCAAGATTTCGTAAAATCTATAAACAC